ATTCAGAACTCAAAAATTTAAACAATTATACAAAAATAAAAAATTACGTATTTCATATAATTTTCATATATTTTTCTATAAAGAACGAGAAGATATATATTAAACCGAATTTTAAAAATTACTATAAATTTCACATAGAATCGCCCATATATATACATATGTGACGCGACACGAGAAAAGGGACCTATCGCCGCAAAAGAGAATTTTACAGGGAGAGCGTTTAAAGCGACGCCATGCGCAGAAAACCCGTGTATTTACGCGTACATGCTTAACTTTTGGGCTTTATATTATTAACACTATTTAAGTTTTTCAACTTTTGATTTTTTCACGTGAAAGAGCAAAGAATAATCTGTCGAATAGCACCATAATCTCAAAATCGATTTTTTTAACGATAGGTCCCTTTTCTCGTGTCGCGTCACATATATTAGGGTGGTTCTTATTTGGGCGATGTTTCCAAATCTTTGGTCTCACCCCAAAAAATTAATCAAGGTATAAAAAAAAATTTTTCTAAAAGTTTGAAGCAAATCGAACAATATTAACACGTGCCTCTAGTCGACTGAAATTTTAAATGGAAAATACATGTAATTTTTCCTTGAAATCACAAAAAGTTTTTTCTAGCTTATACAAATTTATTTAAAATTCTATAACTTTGGGTTCTTTGAGTACATGATAAGAGGTAAAACTTCCAATTTTTTCAAATTTTTTTTGAAAGTATTTGTTCCATTTACATGCTTGATGAATATGCCGCTATCACAGTAAACACTAAACAGGACTATAATATTAACCCTTAGATGCATACATTTATTTATTCATTTAAAATTGACGAAACTCGGTACTAGGGGGTTTTCGGGTTGCTAATTACGAATCTGAGGTTAGTTCAAAAAAATTCAAAATGGCGGATCCAATATGGCGGACATAAAAATAAAAAGTTGTTCATTTGGACTAAGACTCGGTACTCGGGGGTTTCTGGGGTCGCTGATTACGAATCCGAGGTTAGTTTAAAAAAATTCAAAATTTCGGATTCAATATGGCGGACATAAAAAATAAAAAGTCGTTCAATTGAACTGAAACTCGGTAATCGGAGGTTCTTGGGTTCGCCGATTACGAATCACTTTGAAAAAGGTCATTTTGAAAAAATTCGAAATGTCTGAGCCAATATCGCGGATATTGTTACTCGTTCTTAGCGTTTCTAAGATTTTAAATCAAAAATTTTGCAATGCCATTGAAGGCTGAGTATCTCTGTCTTTCAGAAGAGAGAAAATTTTTTCTGGAATTTTATATAAATAGTTGACTAACAAAAGAAATCCTTCTTACTTTTATTATGTACTATAGAAAAGAGACTACAAACAAACAAAAAATCAAAAATATTAAAAAACGAAAAAAAATAAAAACAAAAAAATGAAACTAAAATCTCACGTCCTCGCCGCTTGTTCCGGGTAACGTTAAGAACGAGTAAGAATATCCGCGATATTAGCTCCGACATTTCGAATTTTTTCAAAATGATTCGTAATCAGCAACCCCAAGAACCTCCGAGTACCGAGTTTTAGTTAAATTGAACGACTTTTTATTTTTAATGTTCGCCATATTAGATCCGACATTTTGAATTTTTTTAAACTAACCTCGAATTCGTAATCAGCGACCCTAGAAACCCCCGAGTACCGAGTTTTAGTCCAATTGAACAACTTTTTATTTTTATGTCCGCCATATTGGATCCGCCATTTTGAATTTTTTGAACTAACCTCAGATTCGTAATCAGCGACCCGAAAACCCCCTAGTACCGAGTTTCGTCAAATTTAAATGAATAAATAAATATATGCATCTAAGGGTTAAAATTATAGTCCTGTTTAGAGTTTACTGTGATAGCGGCATATTCATCAAACATGTAAATGGAACAAATACTTTCAAAAAAAATTTGAAAAAATTGGAAGTTTTACCTCTAATCATGTGGGTAGCTCCATGCCTAAAAAATCAAAGTTGTCCCCTACTTCTTCGATTTTGTTGAAACTTCGAAATTTTGAAGTGGAATACATTCCAGTGAAAAACCCTAAATCGATTTCGAAAATTTTTTAAAAATTTTGGATTTACGAGGTTTTTAAAATTTTTTTTGAAATTTTGAAAATGGTATATCTCAAAGGAAAATGAATAAAATTTAATGAAATTTTCAGGGAATGCTTATTGTTTACTGACAATTCAAGAAAATATTTTATAAAAAAATTTTTTTTTTTTAAACAAATTATTTAAAAAATAATTTTTAAATAAACAATTTTTTGAAAAGTGCAATTTTTTTTTGCTTTCAATAACAATGATTCGATTCCCACTTATTTCACGAGTATTTTCCAAAAAAAATCGATGGAGGGTCTGAAACTTTAGGAGATATTGAATTTTTTGACCTGGCGCGCAACCGTTAAAAGCGCATTTTCAGGCTATACTCTACATACAAACTAATGTTTAAAATCACCTATAAGTCGTAAATTTTAACCGAATTCAATTTTTCTTTTTGGAGAATGTCAGGCAATAAATTTGTAAGAATACTGTGCACTTTTTAAATTTATATTTGTTTTAACAAATTATTATTATTATTGTTAATTACTAACTTTTTACATATTGTACCTAGAGAGGTGTATTTTTTACAATTTTGCAATTTACCGGACCTTACATAAATACAGATGCAGATTTAAAACATAATTATTAATATTTGAGCAAGATTTAAACAAATTATTATTGTTTATTTCTAATTATTTACGAATTAGTATACTAGAAAGATGCAGTTTTTTCTAATCATGCAAATTTACCAAACTTTTTCAAATCCTGATTTACATTGAAAATAAAATTATAATTTAAACAAAAATAAGAATAATAATAATTTGCTTAAAAATTGTTTAAATAATAATTGTACTTTTAATTTTAATTTGGCTAGGTCCATGACAAAAAAATTAAATTTGTCCCCTAGTTCTTTGATTTCTATGAAATCAGAAGTTTATTATTATAGCTCTGGAATAAAAGCCTAACAAACATAGTTTTTTAAAAAAAATAATTGTTATAAACATTTTTCGCAACAAAAATTTAATAAATTTTATGAAATATTTTTGACGAAGTAAATAATGATATTGCATACCTACTAACGATAGGATAAGTGTGTTAGTTGTGCTGCAGTTTATTATTATAAAAATTTTTTATTAACAAAAAAATAATAAATTTCCTTAAATTTATATGTCAAATTAAATAATGTTATCATTATTTACTTCAGTTAAAACTCATCTGTTTAAAATAATTGTTTATAACAATTGACTTGATTAAAAAATTGTTTAAATAATTGTTAATAACAATTAAATTAAATATTAATTGTGTTATTTTGCTTCCCGAAAGTTAATTTTACTTAATTTTGTAAACTCAATAAAGTGTTTTTATTCTCAATGTCTTCGAAAGTATTTAAATTTCAAAAGCTTTCAATATAGGCAATTTGTTATTTATTTAATATTTATAATCGTGATTAACAAATAATTATAAAATCGTTTTCACTCTTTTCATTTGCGTGTGTTCTGTGACAATTTCTTGAAGTTTCATAGAAATCAAAAAACTAGGGGACAACTTTAATTTTTTTGTCATGGACCTAGCCAAATTAAAATTAAAAGTACAATTATTATTTAAACAATTTTTAAGCAAATTATTATTATTCTTATTTTTGTTTAAATTATAATTTTATTTTCAATGTAAATCGGGATTTGAAAAAGTTTGGTAAATTTGCATGATTAAAAAAAACTGCATCTTTCTAGTATACTAATTCGTAAATAATTAGAAATAAACAATAATAATTTGTTTCAAATCTTGCTTAAATATTAATAATTATGTTTTAAATCTGCATCTGTATTTATGTAAGGTCCGGTAAATTGCAAAATTGTAAAAAATACACCTCTCTAGGTACAATATGTAAAAAGTTAGTAATTAACAATAATAATAATAATTTGTCAAAACAAATATAAATTTAAAAAATGCACAGTATTCTTACAAATTTATTGCCTGACATTCTCCAAAAAGAAAAATTGAATTCGGTTAAAATTTACAACTTATAGGTGATTTTAAACATTAGTTTGTATGTAGAGTATAGCCTGAAAATGCGCTTTTAACGGTTGCGCGCCAGGACAAAAAATTCAATATCTCCTAAAGTTTCAGACCCTCCATCGATTTTTTTTGGAAAATACTCGTGAAATAAGTGGGAATCGAATCATTGTTATTAAAAGCAAAAAAAAATTGCACTTTTCAAAAAATTGTTTATTTAAAAATTATTTTTTAAATAATTTGTTTAAAAAAAAAAAAATTTTTTATAAAATATTTTCTTGAATTGTCTGTAAACAATAAGCATTCCCTGAAAATTTCATTAAATTTTATTTATTTTCTTTTGAGATATACCATTTTCAAAATTTCAAAATAAATTTTAAAAACCTCGTAAATCCAAAATTTTTCGAAATCGGTTTAGGGTTTTTTACTGGCATGTATTCCACTTCAAAATTTCGAAGTTTTAACAAAATCGAAGAAATAGGGGACAACTTTGATTTTTTAGGCATGGAGCTACCCATATACTAAAAGAACCTAAAGTTATAGAATTTTAAATAAATTTGTATAAGCTAGAAAAAACTTTTTGTGGTTTCAAGGAAAAATTACATTTATTTTCTATTTAAAATTTTAGTCGACTAGAGGCACGTGTTAATATTGTTCGATTTGCTTCAAACTTTCAGGAAAATTTTTTTTTATACCTTGATTAATTTTTTGGGGTGAGACCAAAGATTTGGAAACATCGCCCAAATAAGAACCACCCTAACATATATATATATATGTATATATAGTGAGTACATATATTGATTATAGGATGTTGACGAAAAAATTTGAACAAATGAAATATTTTAATATACAATTTATAAGATTATAAATGTTTTTAATCAACTCTTCATTCACTCGTGCAGTGACCGTAATTAAAAATTAATTAATTGATGGACATTAATTACCTGAGTAATATCTTCACTAGCAAGAGCTTTTAAAATCGTGGTTTTTCCAGCATTGTCTAATCCCAAAAGCAATAGTCGTAATTCCTTTTCTGGATTTGATCGAAGTTTTTTTAAAATTGCCAATAAACCCTGAAAAATGTTAAAAACGTACATTTACTTTAACATTAAATAATTTTAATTACTTAAGTTTGTGTTGAAAATCTATGTATAGTATATCTATATATAGTGTATATATATATATTATATTATATATTTTATATATTTATATATATATATATACAGTGTTGACATTTAAAAAGATTCTCACTGACCTTATAATCTGAGAATCAAAAATAAATACATATATAAGTAATATTTTTATTTAAAAATAAAAATTTTGAACTGGAAGATCATGTTCTAAATAGCAAGGAATAATAAATTTTAGGATCACATTTTTTATATAGAATCTGATTTCTAATTATAATTTAAATCTGTTTTTTGTTATTAAATTTTTTAATGAAATAATTTTAAATGTATCCCGCAGCGGTAAGTTTAAAAAATGGATACTTAAACTTGAAAACTTATAATATTAACTTCACTAAATGTTACAAAATATTTTATATATTTTTACATTTAAAATTTTTTCTTAACTTAAAAATACTGAGTAAGTTAAAAAATAATAAAATTTGAAGTTTTTGTTTCAGCTATTAGCATTTTAAAAAACTCTTAAACAAATTTAATCGGATTTCAAAGTTCCAAACATGTCTTAAGAATTTCAAATAAATCTTGAAAAAATAGACTTCTTTAAGGATGTAATGTTTCTTCTGCATAAATAGATCAGTTATATATTATAATAAATAAAGAAAATTTTCCATACATAGTTAAAAGTGAATAATTCAACTTGTAAAAACTTAAAAAGTTTGTAAGTATTTAGGTTATGTTTTCAAATCATATAATTTTTAAGTTTTAAAAAGGAAAGCATAAATTAAAAAATATTTACCATATTTTTATGCTGTTGTTGCTCAAAATGATAAATAACAACAAACTCCTTAAAATGATTTCTATGCCAGTCAACTATGAAAAGTTAAATATCCAGTGTTTTGCTGGCGACATATCGGTTTCTATGTTGGTTGCTATGTCAGACATGGCACCTGCTTTTCATGACTTTTACGGAAGTGCGTACGCACTATGACGTCACTTCTAGTGTCGTCTTTCTTAACTTAGGGATTTCAAAGAAATTCAGAAGGTACTATATAAGTTACTAGCATAGGAGCTTTTGTTTTAAATCATTTACTATACTTTATTAACTAAATATTTGGTTTAAAAATTAAGTTAAAAATTAATTAAAGAAGGTTAAATTATTATTCTTAATTACTATTCTTAGCTAACATTGAGCACTACGCTCGCCTATCATATTTCATATTTCACGTTGTGCAGCATATTATAAAATAGCATGTTTAATAAACAAATTAATAATTAAAAAAAAACTAATTAACTATAATAATAGAAAATTCATACATTCTTTTCGTCCAAATCTGAAGTTTATCTTATGTGTATGCTTTTGTTTTTATTTCTTTAAAAAATATTGTTTGACAAACCGAAAATATGAAGGTATTTTTTATGATTTATAATAAAATTATATTTGTAATTGGAAAATTAGAAAATGTAAAAAAAAATTTATTTATAAAAAATATTAGAAAATTGTTAATTGTTAAAAATTATTATTATGAAATAGGAAAAAAATCCATTTTATGCATAAATTTTATTTCTCAATACAATAACAATATTCTTCACAAACTTATTTTTTTCTTTTAGGGAAAAAACAATACTTCCATTTGTTAATAATTTTGTAGAAAATTCTTAATTTTCATACGGAAAGAATTTGCATCATTTCTATTTCTTAATTACAATTGTTCTAATAAAATTTAAAGTTTTATAAAAATAAAGATAAAAAATGTTTATAAATTCTATTTGTCAATTGCAAATTTTAATTAAAAATAAAATTGAAAACTTTTAGAAAATAAAGAAACAAATTTTATTTAAAAAAATGTTTCGTTACATTTATTTACGAATTTATTTAATTGTAAAATTATTCGAAAACATCAATAACTTTTTTTAAAATAAATATTTAATTAAAACCTTTTTGAAATTATAAAATTATTATCATTATTTTACCTATATTAAAAATATTTTTACTGCAACTTCTTAAAAATTATTTTTATCACGTTAATTCAATCAGGTATTATTTTCTAGAATTCCTAACTAAAATTATTTTCTAAATCAACTATTTTTAATAATTTTTGAAAAAGTTCTTTGTGGATATTTAAATACATTTATTTAAAATGCAATTTTACGAAGTTTCTATTATTAAAAAATTCTTCAATTAAATACACTATAAGAAAAATTTTGGAAATTTTCCTAAAAAAATTTAGGAAGCAAATTCTACTAATTATTTAAAAAAATTCACTAAAGGGAATTTTTCTCAAAAATTATCGAAAATTTCCTATGAATTTAGAAATACATTCTCATGAAATGTTGTAGAAAAAATCCCAAAAGTTTAGAAAAAATTCTCTTAAACGTTTAGGAAATTTTCCTTATGAATATATTGGAAAATTTCTGAGAATTTAAAAAAATTACTCCATGTACATAACTTCAAATTGTTTAAAAAAAATTAAATTAAACTTTTTCAAAAAAGTTAATTCTTTAAAATTGACAGTTAAAAGTATAGAAAATTCAAATTTTCAAATATTATAATTTCAAATCTTTTCAAAATTATTCAATTATTTAAGGGGGTCCCACAGTCGATACGATTTTCCCATTGAAGCTCAATGCAAAAATCCAATCGACTTCGGGATCCCCGTAAATACAAAAGTAAATAATTCATTCAATGTTTTTTGAAATTTAATTCTTATAAAGAATTTTACCAACAAATTTTTAAATAATTAAATTCATGTGACGAATTTTAATCAAATTTTTAATAATAATTAAGTTTTTCGAGGAATTCGATTAAAATTGTATTAAAAATAATTAACTTTCTGCGATGAGCATTATTTATGAAAATAATTGTAGGGGAGACCGAGGTGAGTTGTAACAAAGGTGAGTTGTAACAAAGCCGATTTCTCGAAATCTATGACCTTTTAAAAATTTTGAAAAGCGTGAATTTATTACATTTTTGAATTACTATTTGATGCAAATTTACTTGACCACCTGAGAAAAGTTTTTAAGATGTATTTAATATGTGTGCAAAAAAATTGCTAAAAGTAAGTTTTCGGCCGAAATTTTGATATACTTTATTATTCGACGCATGTTAGATTTTGTTATTCTAATATTTACCTTAATAACTGTTGGATATCCTAGTTTCATGAAATGGTTTTTTTTGTGTCATTCTCAAAATTTAAGATAGAAAATAATTATTCGAACCGATGCACAATTTTTCGCACCTAGGCGAGTTGTAACAGGCTTTTTCAACTCACCTAGGTTTACGAAAATTTGTGCTTGATCGAATAGAGACTGTTTGGATTTTTGCTAAAGTATACTGTTTTATATTATGTCTTTAAAAGTAGTTAGAATTTTACAAATTTTCGTGTAAATCACTTTCATATTTTCCAAAGGAAAAAAAATATTAATAAAAACATTTTTCGACTTGCTCTTTCATATACAAAAGTCAAACATAATTTCTATTTATAGGTTTTTTTGTTATTATTAAGCTTGTTGTTCATTTTTAATTTAGTTTTCGGTTTAATTTGATTTATATTGGTCTCATAAATTTTCTTACTCTAATTCCGTAAAAGAGGCTAATTTCGCTCAATTTTTCAATTCTTTTTTAAATAACTTCGGGAAACGATGAAAATAAACATTGGCACTGAAAATATATAATCTCTAACCCTTTCTCTTTCCTATTATTGCATAAAGAAATTAAAATATGTTGCAGAAAATTATTTATAAGCCGTTTTGTTGTGAGCGACTTTATCTTTAAATGAGGGTAAATTCGCTCACCATTATTATTCTTGCAAAATATATTATAATCTGCAAAAATAAAAAACTAAATATTCTTTAGAATCAATAAAGAAAAAAAATTAAGAACAATGTCCAAAGTTATTGAAATAAATATTTAATATTGTTTCATCAATAAGTAATTAAATTCAATCATTCAATTAAACGTACTCATAACCATACAAAACAAGTTGTTCATTTCATGATCATTAAGCTTCCTCAATATAATATATGTCAATTGTTTAAGTCCTTATTTTAGAATAATTATTTTAAAGTGTTAAGATAAAATGTCAAAAAATACAAAATTTCAATTTTTTGTGAAAACTTAAAATATTTATTAATTCTATAAATTTTGATAAAATATATACTTCATATACATGAATCGATTCGTTTTTATGTCAGGAATGCAATTTTGACAAGAATTAATAAAAATTTTAATATAGAAAAAAGTTACTTCAAAAAATCCAAAAATTATTTTATCAAAAATTAAAAAATGGTTGAAAAAAATTTTTTTTTTAGATATTTTTGAAAATCCTTTTGTCTGATTTTTGGTATTCGTGACCGTAATACACCTACAAAATTTTATCAAAATCCGTCAAGACGTGTAAGAGAAAATTTGTCCACAAGAATCGGTGACATACACACACACACACACACACACACACACACACACACATTGGTGAATGTGCACATTGACCGGTGAATGTGCACATTACCCGAATTGGGTGTTCGTTGGATGGTGAATGTGAAAATAGTATACGAATTTTGTGTTTCTACGCACTTTAACCGGTGAATGTACACATTCACCAAAAGGTTTTGGCCAAAGTGAAAAATTAGTATACCCCGAACAAATGGCAGGGTAGTGAAGGTATAGTTGGACAGTACCGGTGGTCGGACACTTTCATGTTTTTTGTCAAATAAATAATAATGCATTGCAATAATTACTTTAACAACATGTGATTGTTACAGAATTCAATGTTAATTTTTTCGACCACTTTTCTCTTAAAATATTAAATAAATTAAGCTAGTTTTTTGTGAATAACTCTAAAATATCATAAAGAAGGGCAGTGATGTGAAAAAGTTTTAATATTTTTAAAATTATTTATTAAAAAATAACTTTAAAATTATTAGTTCTCAAAATCACTTTTAATCAATTTCTCGTCTTTTCCAATTTCAAAGTAATTTTTTATAATTTATTTTAGAATTATTAAAACTTTTGCACATCACTGCTCTTCTTTATTATATTTTAGAGTTATTCACAAAAAATAGAATAATAACTGACGTTTAGAAAATAAACATTCAACTGTTACAAATTTATTGTATTTGTAAAAGTTTTATTCTTAAACAATTGACATTTCAATTTCCATTTGTTACATTTGTATTTCTATATATTATTCGTTCCATTTATACCTTTATTTCTTTTTTAAAATTTATATTATTTAATTACTTATATTAAGAATTAATTTATTTATAATAATTCCTTACATTATCATATTTTATAATAATTATAATTACTGAACAAATTACTTGCTATCAATTTTTACATTTACCAACTAACGTTGGTCAATGTGTACAATCACCAATTTACTTGGGAAATGTACATAATTTCTTCTGAGATTGATAGATTATTCACATTTACCAAAAAACCCGGTAAATGTGCACATTCGCCGGTTAATGTGCACATTCACCGGACTTCGCACTTTAACCGTAACATATATACTACACTTGAAAATTTGTAAAAATAATTGGTTCTAAAAAATTCGGAAATCGACATCACTATAAGGCTTCCTTTATGAGGAAGCAATAAGGTTAAGTCTGACAGTTTAGTGCTTAAACCGTTTTAAATCGTTTAATTTTCAGTTGTAAGAGTACTATTATTAAAAAAATGGAATAATAAATTAAAATAATTAACATACTTAAAATATCCAGGGGTGCTATTCTGTAACTTCACTTCACTTTCACTTCACTTTCACTTCACTTTCACTTCACTTTCAATTCACTTTCACTTCACATTCACTTCACTTTCACTCCACATTCACTTCGCATTCACTTCACATTCACTTCACTTTCACTCCACATTCACTTCACATTCACTTCACATTCACTTCACATTCACTTCACATTCACTTCACTTTCACTCCAC